TATATATATATGTATATATATTTGTATATATATATATGTATATATATATATATATGGGTAGTGTGTGTACACACACGCACACACACATGCGGTCATCTCTTTTGGTCTCTGTCCGGCTTGCAGGGTTATTTGCTTCAGATGTTGCTGGCATCTTTGGGCTGATGGAGAGCTTCTCCGCAACGCTTGCAGCAAAGAGCGGCATCGAGAGGTTTTCGTTGCGCAAGACCCCATGCCAAATCTCAACATTGCGGGCAGGCATCGGCAAAGGCGATGGCACAGCCAGCTTTGCCAGCCCCGGCAACTCCTGCACCGTGGCAGGCGCCTGACAACGAATACAGCCGGTTTGACACCGAGTTATTTGCCAGGATAATTTCCTCTTAAAGCAATAGCCACGGACCTTCCGACACTACCAAAGCACATGTAGCAGACGAACTCAACAGTCAGGGACCAACAATGGCGGTAATGGTAAATATCAGTGCCATAGACAAGTAATATTCTTCAGAACCAATGCGTCATCATGACAGCGCATCATCGCGGGCTGTGGTTTCAGAAGCCCACCGGATCGACTCTTTCGGAGTTTCCTTGGCGGGTTGTTTGCGCAAGCAAGGAGCTCTAACAGCGGCTCCTGACCTTGCCAGCTCTTTTCCTACGTGCACCTACACATGTTTGTGAACAAACAGCTGTGTTGCTTTGTTGAAACGAACTGGATTTCAGACTCATGATCTTCGACAAAGATTACTTCTGTAGAATGTCTTGCCTGTTGTCCTTGTCGCTGCTCTCGCCGTCGTTCTCCCGCTCTTCGCCGTTATCCTCATGCGGACGTACGAATGTCGGTCTCGGTCCGCTTGTATGTCTTCGCCTGTGCATAAACTCAGCCTCCTGGACAGGTACCGGCTAAGGCCGCCAAGGCATCCTCTCCGCTACCCTCGGCATGTTCGCCGCCACCATGGGAGGTGCGCAATCTTCAGCAATCATGACAGCGGTAGCAGCGTTGATCGAAAAGGTATTCGGGAGCGGCTTTCAGAAAGGGGGCAGGACCTGATGTGGCATTTCTTGAGTCTGTAAACCCCAAACTCCAGACTGTGGCCCCAACCCCCATCAACCATATAAACCCTACCGCGAACCTCTTGGGCAGGTACCGGCAAACGAGTCAGCCCCGCCACCGTGGCAGGCGCCCAGTCATTCTAATTTTATCAAATAGCCCTAGCAGCACCATTGGCGGGAGAATTCTCATCCCGGTCTTGGCACAGGGGAGTTCACGTCTTGCTAGGTTTTTGCGAGACTCCACACAGGAAGAATAACGTCTGTAAATTTGGGTGTTGGAGTTTTGGAGCTTTGCGGTTGCAGGGCTGCGAAGGTCTTCGGACTGCAGGGCTTTCGGAGCAAAGCTTTGGGGTACGAGTTTTTTGAGGCAGTTTTGAGTTTTCAGTCTTTCTGCTCGAAACAGACCAAGATTGGAACCTTCGGGTTGAGGGGTTTGGTTGCGATGTTCCCGGCGCACGGATCCTGCTGTGGCCTCTAATTCCGTGTCAGACGCAGGCTACAGGGGAAGCGCAATGTGCACGTTCCCACCGGAGCTCAGAGCAAAGCACAAGGTAAATCGGAATTGCGGCACCTCTTTCAAGTCGTATCTCTCCCGTCAATGTTTTCGCATTTCAGGCTTCAGGAATTTTGGGGAAATTCGAGCCTGGCAGCACTTTAGCAACCTCGGATGCGAAAACATCGGCAGGGATCAAATTTCCCCAAAA